CATGAATATTTTCACTGGTTTTCAAGCATGTTAAGTGTGATGTACTTGTGTAATGATAATAATAAACAAAGCAAGGCCCTAAATATGACCTGCTGTATCCTTAGTGGAACCAAGTCTCTGCTGTATTCAGGACAGAAGTGTTTTCACTTTGTACATTTGAGTTTATTCTGGTCTCCTCATGCGTCCGTTGTCCTCTGAGCCCTGTGTGTTTAATCCTTTGTGTTTCTCCACAGGAAATCCACAGTTTCATGTGTCAAATGGTGCGTGTTGGTAAACCAAGATGAATCACAACTATCTGAACTGATGAGCTTATTAATTGTCTTCTAATTTACTCTAATTACATTTTAACTCCTCCCTGCATGTTTCCCCAACACTGTCTGCTAACTGAAGTTTCAGCTTCTGCTGTTCAGCCTTTTCATAGAGCTGCATTTTACGTTCAAAGACGTCTCCTCTGGCAGAAACAAACCTTCCTGTAGCAGGAAATCTCTCGTCTTCTTCCCTCTGTGGCACTCAGTTTCAGTTGTATGTTTTCTTGCTGTTCAGACGTTGCTGAGCTGCAAGTCTCAGATCACATTGTAAATAAATGTGCTATATTTAATGGCAGCCTCCAAACTCCAGTGTTCAGATCTTTCACACATCTGATTCGTCTTCTGTTTTCAGTGCGAAACAGGCTGAGAGAAATCGTGGGAGCTTCCACAAACTGGAGGTAACTGGCATGACTCACAGTTCAAAATCATCTTTATTTACCTCATGCTGTCTGAAATGAGCTGTTTTAGCTCCTCCCCCTTTAAGCCACCGAAGGCTTAATGCCTTAGATGAGTATATTATTGTCATCCTCTCTCTGTGACATCATACAGACCCAACAGTAGAAAAAAACTGTCAAAAACATGTTTTTACACACAGACTGACCTCATTTTACAAACGTTGTGGTTAATGTAAACATCATCTGTTGTAACAGTGTATATATGATAGAAAGTAAGAAAATATAATAGATCACAGCATCCTCAATAATTTCTCAGCAAATGTTAAAAGCCGCCATCCAGTCAGCAGCCTTTGAATGCAGTAATAAATTGTGCTGTGATAGTTACGTTTTGGCAAGATTATCAAAAAAGATATTTTTGGTCATTTTGCTGTCACAGAGTTACTTTTGAGCAGAGTTTGTTCATTTGCTTTGTGAAAAACTGTCTGACTGGATACTTGAGATTTAGGTTTGTTCTGTTGTTACCTTCGGTCGTTCAGCTTTAGTACTGTTAGAGGTTCCACAGGGTTCTGTTCTCGGACCCCAGATATTTTATATTTACGTGCCAACACTCAGTTGAATAATTATTTTAAAAAATCCTGAGCATCAGATGTTATTTCATTGCAGATGACACACATATATATTAGGGGTGCAACGA